CTTCTGCAGCCTTCGTAAACACACTCGTTCATCCTGCCCAGCTTGAAACAACAGATGTCATGGATGTGGCAAGCAGAGACATTTTTTAAAGGTTTGTCGGTCGGCCCCTTTACAGAAAACCCGTTTAGCCACCACCTTATCTCTATCTACCATATCAACTGTCTCTCCCAAATGCCTCTCTAAAACAATTGTGCCGGCCAGAGTGAATGGACTAAATCTCCACTGATGCATCTGATTCGGCAATAGCTGCCTCCTTAAGACAACATGGTCGGCCTGTAGCTTTTTTCTCTAGGACACTCTCAAAGTCTGAATGAAGGCATACTGCCATAGAAAAAGAAGCGTATGCCATAGTTCAAGCTTTACGAAAATAGAGGCATTATCTGATCAGTAGACAATTCCACCTTTATCACTGACCAAAAAGGAAAAGATCATTCATGTTTAACCTGAAAACCTCAAGTAAAATAAAAATGAGAAAATTGCAAGATGGCGGATGGAACTCTCTTTGTTATTCATTCGACATCTCCTATCGCCCTGGAAAGGAGAATGCTGCAGTTGGCGCACTTTCAAGGGTGTGTGGTCTAACAACAAGCTCATCTGATCTTCAGAGCATACACCGAGAATTGTGCCACCCGAATGACACATGTAGTCCAGAGCAGGAATTTACCATATTCAGTTGAAGATGTAAAAAGAATTACCAACTCCTGCCAAATATGCGCGGAAAATAAGCCAAGATTCTATAAGCCCCCTCGAGCAACACTCGTGAAGGCCACTCAGCCTTTCGAAAGGCTTAATCTGGATTTCAAGGGTCCACTACCTTCTAAAACACAAAATAAATACATGCTTACTGTAACTGATGAGTACTCAAGGTTACCCTTCGTCATTCCATGCCCTGATGTAACGGCTTTTACAGTTATTCAAGGCCTCTGCTCCTTTTCACAATTTTGAGTGCCTGCATACATTCATACAGATCGGGATCTGCCTTTATGTCGGAAGATCTCAAGAATTTTTTGCATGAACGAAGAGTGGCGGTAAGCTGAACCTCCCTTACAACCCTCAAGGGAACGGGCTCTGTGAAAGATATAATGGAATAATATGGAAGACTGTACAGTTGGCATTGGCAAACCGGAAAATGCCAATCTCAAAATGGGAAAGTGTCATCCCCGAGGCTCTAAACGCTATCAGGACCCTATTGTGTACATCTACAAACGCTACTCCCCATGAGAGGTTTTTTTCCGTTCCAACGACGAAATAATCAACAGGCACTTCCCTCCCTTCATGGCTTGCTCAACCTGGAATCGCTTTTACTGAAACACCATGTTCGTCGAGTAAACATGACCCCTTAGTCAGCAAAGTGAAACTAATTGAGGCGAACCCCAATACACCCAGATTGAAACTGCGGAAGGAAGACAATCAACAGTCTCTTTAAGAGATCTCGCACCGGCTGGAAATACATCTGAAGAGGCTACTGCGATGGAGAATCGCGAATATCCAGAATTAAGCTAGCTTATTTATAAGCATTTCTGGAGTCTGTCCATTACACCAAACAGGGGGAGCAGGTTGTGGAAATTACTTACAACATTCTCCCCCACCGGCTAGTTATCCGTACAGAATAAAGTCTTTCCAACGACCTGGCATTTTGCGGGTCCTTTGTTAAGCTAGGCGATCAAATCCTGCGTACATCTAGTTCAGATACTCTACCGAATGAATCCGATTATCCTTATGAACCTTCTTCTACATCTGATTCTGAAGAAAGACCGATACCACAAAAATGGACTCACCCTACATCGGAGACTGACACTTATTTTTCAGACATCCAGCAACCGAAACATAAAAAAAAACGTTGCCGTTTCAAGGCTAGACCTTCTACGCAGAAATGCGTTAATCACAATAACTATAACTTGTAGTCTGACGTAGACGGCCACCAGTCACCTGAACAATTAAGATGTTCCCAAAGGACCCGCAAAATGCCAGGTCGTTGGAAAGACTTTATTCTGTACGGATAACTAGCCGGTGGGGGAGAATGTTGTAAGTAATTTCCACAACCTGCTCCCCCTGTTTGGTGTAATGGACAGACTCCAGAAATGCTTATAAATAAGCTAGCTTAATTCTTTTCTTTTTGTAGCTGCATTAAGTTGAATAAAGCTTTCCTAAGTTTATTCGCTTTGGGTTATTCATTACACTTCTCTTCATAATTTTTATTTCTCTCTCTTTTATACCTTCACTTTTCTCTATTCTTTCTCTCCAAATCTTTCAATACTCTCTCTCTCTCTCTCTCCCCCATGTATCAACTCCTGCCAAATATGTGCGGAATTCTTTACAACTATTCCTTTTACTTCTGATTAATTGCTTTCTCCATCTCTTTGTAGTCTTACGCTCTTTTCTCTCCTTTTATTACCTTTTTATTACTTCTCTCACTTCGTTCTCTGTTTTCTCTTTCAACTCAAACACTCCTTGTTATCCTATTCTTTAGTTGTGTATGGAGGCAATGTGAGCCAAATTTTAATTTCTCACAAAACTCTATCTTTTATTTGTTGAATTATTGATTTTTGCTTTCACAGTTCAGAACTATTATAACACACAAGCTTTTCTAAAATTCTACAATTATCAGTAATAATATCTTTCCTCTTCATTTTTTTCTTTTTTTTATCCATAATATGCTAAAATAGATTTATAAACTTATATATTAATTCTCATATTAACTTGGGTTTTTATTTTTTGAGTCCGTACTGATTTGTGTGTTTGTTTTTTTAATTCCATGTCTGTTTACCCAATTCTTTTAATACACCTCTTCACTTTATTATTACTTGTTTATTAAATTCATTCCACTATTTTTTCTTTCTGCCCTTTCACTTCACCTTCTCTTATTCCTTCTCTCTCACTTTTCCTCTTCCTCTCTATTTCTATCTCTCTCTATCTCACTTTATACTCATTTAACTTCTGCTTGACCCTTCCACTCATCATTTTCTTTTTTTTTTTTTTCCTTGAGAAAAGTTTATATTATTTTGCTTGGAAGAAATGCAAAAATAAACTCTTATTTGCTAACATCAAATCTCAGTATATAATTGTTTATCTATTTCCTAATTGCCTCATCCTTTTTTTTAATTTTAATTTTCTTTTCTGCTTTTACTTCCTTTCTCTTCTCTTTCACTACTCTGGCCTCTCCTCTTTCTGTTTCTCTCTGGCCTTTCCTCTCTGTTTCTCTCTGCCCTCACTTTTATGCTCTGCTGTAACATCACATTTTCATTAGCTTTTAATCTTTCTACACCTCTTCTTATTTTTTCTCACATTACTTTTTTCAATCTTATTCATAGTCTTTTTTCTACTACATTTCTATTCTCTCACTCATTCTCTCTTTATCTGTGCCATGTTACATTAGAATCCAAGAATGTTTAAGACAATGGAAAATATTGATTTTTGACTTCTCAAACTTAAAGCATTCTTCTCTTGTATTCAGCATACTAAGGGCAAAGCTGAAATTTCAACTCCAATTTGCAACAATCCTCAATTATATTTCAATAAACTTATTACATGTGCGTTATTTGAACTCACCTCTGTAGCTTTTTACTGTCATAAGTATTTTTGTTCATGCCGTCTTTTGACTGTTAACTTCCTATTATCGAGTGCAAATGACCCCTAAGCATAAACTAAAAATAAGGAAATTATATAAAAAATCTTTTTTTCTCTCTTTGACATAAAATAAGAGGAATGGGAGGAGGAGATGTGCATTGTAAATTAGAAAGGAAGTGAATAAAAGAAAAGTAGAAAATAAAAGTTGGTCACTTAATTTGGTTTCTGTACTTTTTGGATGTGTGGGTGGCATAATGGCTATCAATTTGAAAAAATTCTGACTGAAGTTGTTTCATTCACTTAATGCTAATACCTTTGGGAAAGGCATGAACCCATCTCTTCTCAAGCTACAAGTAAGACTGAGTTCTTTAACATCGGTAAGGCAACCAATCTAGAGAAAGGCTAACACTGAATTCAAAACTCTGGAGTTTTGAAGTCAGTGTTAGCCTTTTTCTAGATTGGTTGCCTTAGAAAGCAATGGAGAAACTACTCCACTCTCTCCCCAGAAATCATGACAATTTGCAGATATTAAATAAAAAGGAAGATATGTCCTAAATGAATGTGGTATTTAAAGAATAAAGACATTGTTATTATTAACACCAACATTATATTGGTAATAATAACATTAATAGTAACTTGGTTTTATAAAGTTTATTTCTGTTTGTTAAACAATTTAAATGTTCATTAGAAATTAATAAAAAATAAAGGCTTGTTTAATTTAATAAATTTAGTTTAGATTTATTTCTCTTTACTGGGCCATACTCAATAAAATTTAAGAATTATTCTCTTTATTTTATAAAAGAAATAAAATATATAGGTTTTCCAAGCATAGTATTGAAAATTAATTTTTCTACATCGATTTGATAATTCTATTTAAGAAGTTGACATTTTATCTCTTGTGCAAAGATCATTGTATTTCAGAAGATATGAAAATTAATGCGTTTTATATTATTATAATATTTTATATTATATGCCTACTTAGTAAGTAGATATCATACTGTACCTACAAATTGATTGTTGAAATGCTGCACTTGTTCACAAACCTAGTGGGAGGAGGTTACCTGCTGTGACAGAAAAAAAAATGGGATAAAACTGAAATGGATTTATATTTGCTATGATGACCCAACTCTTCAGTTGGTAAAATGGGGTCAGCAAAGAATTTAAATATACAAAGTAGAGATTGGTAAGCATGTCCAAAGCAAAGTCATCCTAAAGCAATAAATTTGTTTTTCAAAAGTTTCTTTAGTAAAGGAAATAAATGAAATCTCTGTGCATGTTTTAATTTTATTTTTCATTTTCAAACATTGAGATGCTGCCTATTATTGAACTCTTAGTGTCTATTCAAGTCAAATATTTCCAGTATTTTGTGAGCATGACATCAGTGTTACTGTTGGCTTCATCTGATATTGAATGCATTTTGCTTTGCTTGCCAGGAGTTTGGCTGAAGGCTGGAAAGCAACAGCAGTAGAAATGGAACAGGAATCAGAATTACACAAGTAAGTTATCAAATATAAAAGATTGAGTGGATAACAGTGCTTTAATGGCATATTCAGTTCTTTAGAGTAATTCAGATAACCAAACATGTTCGTTTCATATAATCTTATATTCAATTCTTTGAGGTTTTTTTTTGTTTTTTTTAGATATGCTATATTTTTAAAAAGTTTGGTTTTATGACATCAAAATGTCATGTCATGTAGTAAACAAGTTTCCATAAAAATTAGGTTTCCATAAACATGTCTTTCTTATTGAAGGTTCTATTTATGATTAGGAATATATGTTATGATTCACTGATTCCTAAGGAAATCATTTTGAAAATCCTTAATTAAAATAAAATGATCAGGTTAAAGTAATGTCCAAAATTTGATAGTCATTGATTGAATGATATTTTCACTATTCAAAAATATCTGAAAGATAATGTTTATTTGTTTTTAATTTTAAATGTTTTTAGTTTTCAGTACAATTTAAATTAGTTATATCTAGAGAAGAGTAGATATGTAATTGTTTATGAGGTTACAAAAAATATTCATGATATTTATAGAATACATTCTTTGAATGATTTAGAAAAGATAAGTGAAGCTTAAGAAATGGGCAGGTAATCTTCTTGATTTTTAAGATAGCCTACTTTTGTCTAAATTTGAAATAATAGTTGTTCTGGCTGAAGAATGAACTGAATTCAATTTAGTTACTATCTGCAACAACTTGGAAAGGTGCCTAAATTTATAAAATGGATTTCTCATGATTTGACAGAAGCCAACCATAAAGCAAAAAATCTGCATTTCTTTGCTCTCTTTTACCACTTTTGAACAAATGGTGATTGGTAATGAAAAAGATTTTATAAGAATATAAAATATTGCAGACTATGCTTTACATAGATGAACAGGTTAAAGCACAATTCAAAATGAGTTTCTATCCAAGGAGAACTTTAGTGTTTGAAGAGATTTTGTTAGTGTGGTCAACTTTGAGTTACTACCAGTCAGTTATATCTGTTACCAGCAATTATAGCATTTAAACACTGTTTTGAAAGAAATGAGGTCCAGTGTGAATAATAATAAATGTGTGATACAATATGATAATACATGGCTACATACAATAAAGATCATATCTGAAAAAAACGAAGATCTTGGCTAAGAAAGAAAATTCTATTTATCTCTAAATTCTTTCTTCAGATCTTGCTCCATCTGATTACCAACTATTCTGGAGTTTACAAACCTACCTGGACTAATTCTTAAAACACTCAAAGAGGTGAAAACTACCCTTTCTAAATTATTTAAAAATATAGATAAATATAAAAGACTTTTATAAAAACAGTATTATGAAGTTTGTCAGTCATTGGGAAGTGGTTAATGATAATAATGAAATCTATATTAATAAATTCTAATTAAATGTAATAACCTGACATTTAATAAATGACATTTTTAATAAATGAATGTTTAATTGCACATTAACTTCTATATAAAGATCATATGGTATTAAATATATTGTTCAAGCAGAATGATTAAAATTCTTAAAAATATAGCAATAATAATAATGCTTACCCGAATGTGGATACACCACCCAAAATCAGCAGTTGATAGGCTGTATGTACCAAGAGATTTAAGAGGCCAAGGTCTAATCCAACTTGAACTACAACAATCAGATTGGAAGCATACCTCACAAAAACCAATGACCATCTCCTACAAATAGTAAAAAAAATTCCACTTCATCAACAAAAAAGCTGCACTCTTCAAAAAACAGCATAATATACCTGAAACCCTACCAACAAAAAAAAACAAAGCAAATACCATGTATGCCAAACAAGTAAAGCAGAAAGCAAAACAACTCGGCCAAATGAAATTACAAAAAAATGGGAGGACAAGGCATTACATGGCAAATACCTAAAAAGAATGAAAGAAGCAGATATGAACCAATGGAAAACACACCAGTGGCTGAGGAGCACTGGGTTGAAAGCTGAGACAAGAAGGCTTAATTTTTGCAGCACAGGACCACATTTACTAATGTTTGTTTAACTAAACTTAGAATAATTAAACCTAATGAAGCTTATTATTCTTATTCAACTATGACTTAATTATTAAATATTAAAAATAAACACTACTTTATATTTGAATCCATTTATATTCTGCTTTATCATTTCTGTCTTTCAAGTTATAAATTATAGGAAAATCACTTCAATAATTTATCTCTTAAAAGATCTCTTAATATAATATTAAAATTTTCATTTTTATGATGAGTTTGGTAAAGATAAAAAATATTTATATCGTATTTTTATGAATTGCTTGGTTTAAAAGACTCTAATGTTAATGCAATATGGCTTACAAATTATTTAATAATCATCAAAATTTATTTCTATCAAAACAATGTTATTTGCAAATCTTTCATTAGAACTTGAAAAAATGAACTTGACCGTTATGATTTTTAAAATGAAAAAAAAAAACTAATCTGGCAGCTACAAATCTGAGCTGTTTAATTCCATATACAGTAGTTTGCATGTTTGAATTATGACTTAAAATCTGATAATTCTGATTAGAAAACCAAACAATCTATATCAATTGATTTGTTTTCCCCTTTCTATCAGACAAGTGAGTCGGGCTTTAATGGAAGACATTGCCAAACCCCTGAAGTTATGGGTAGAAGCTCAGCAGAAATCAAGACGGCCGGTAAGTCATCTTTTATTCATTCCTATCTAATATAAACAAAATTTAATATATATATTTACATATATATTGGCTGAAAACAATCAGCTAGAAGAAGAAAAAAGTGAGAGGGATTCAAAGAAATTTTTTTTTAAATTCATTCAAGAAGCACAGGATTACTAAGTGTGAAGAATATGAGAAAAAGAAAAACATGAAGAAGAACAATAAAAGAACAGGAATTAAGAACACAAAAAATAATGATTGTCATCACATTTAAAGTTTTGAAGATCATAGTTGACTGGAAAGCAAGAAGCTAGAAGAGACTTCCACAAGCAAGATATGCGAGAGCGGAAATTGTTAGCATAAAACAAAGACACAAAAGCATCAATGGCAGCTTTTACTCGAGTAGAAACCTTGGTGGTACAATTTTCAGTAGGAAGTTTAGAAATTCTACTTCGAGGGTGCCACAAAGAAAATTATTAGATGAATTCCAATTGGTGCACTGGTAACAGAAAGAATAGGAGGTTCATGTCTAATAGACAACTCCAAAGAAATATCAACAGATATTACAGTGTGATCTGAATTCTCAAGAGGACAGAATTGCGAGAAGATGATAAGAGACAAATCAAGTAAAGAAGCATGTTGATCAGAATTATTAGGGAAATACACTCTTTGATTGAGACACTGAGCAACAGAAAAATTGAAAGTCTGAATGCCAACAACATTAGAATGATTAAGCCACTTGACATTAAAATCACCAAACACAAAGATGTTTGCAGATGATTGTAGATATAGAACCATTTTTAAACTCAGAAGACGGGGAGCAATAAAGAAAAACAGTGCAAAATAGAAAGTTGAAAGCATCTGAAAGAATCATCTAGGGACTCAAGAGATGATTCCAGTGCCACTGGAAGATTTTCCTGGATCTAAGCACCAAAGCCATGCATATGTATCTTTGAATCTTTTCAACAAAGAAAGATAAAGCCTGGAACAGTGAATTTGGTGGTAATGACAGAAGAGTTTAAATTATTTTCACAAAGCATTCTTCAAAAGGAAAGATTTTACACTACTGAAATTGGTACAAATACAATGAATATTGGAGAAAGAAAGGTTGAAGGGGTGGTCAGGTGATTTTATTTGCTTACTGAGAAGCTTATTCATGAGATTATTTTAATTTCTGTGGAGAAAAAGAATAAAATAATTATCACTGTCTATTGTCTAAGGCAATTTCTAGCTCAGCTAAGTTTAGCACTTTCTTTGTGACAAATAACTGAGAGAGAGAGAAATTGGCATTTAATACTGGCTCAAAACAAATGGTGACAAATTGATTATGTGTCTAGAAGAGTTGCACCCTTCTGAATCACTTAGGACAAGATACATACAAGATATTTGGGAACATGCTTCCTTTCATTACAAGATTGTAAGATTGTTGCGGAAACTAATTGAAGACATTTTTCTTTAGTGAGTTTATGTGTTTTAAAGATTACTCAATTTGGACATAATATATGGATATAATATAATTCTAAAACTATTTAGTTGGTTTGTGTCTCAAATATGATTAGTTTTATATCATGATCTCATTTGAAGTCATTTTGCTTAAGGCTGTACTCCCAAAATGTCTGGTATATGTTTTAAACTTAGAAAAAATACAGAAAATGATTTGGTGATTTTTAAAAACAGAAAATTTGCTTTGCATTAAAATCTTCCAACATTCTTGTCTTAAATGGAAATATATTTATAGAAAATGGACAGAAATTTGTATTTAATATCAGAAATAAAATAAGAAAACTGTATAGAATTATGATATGTAACTAAAACTAATAAAGCACTGAAGTGATAATATTTATAGAAAAGTTATTTTAAATAAAAGTTAATTTTATTCCATTGTATGGGAGAATAGAGCATTTATATTTGGTAGCAGACCAGTGAAGCCTGTAGGTGACATACAAACCATGGGGACTTTGCTTTGCAACATTTAACTATTTTTATAGTCTATCATTCTTCTTACTAAGAACAGTAACTGTTTTCTCTTCATTATTAAAAATGTATGAATTTGTTTTATTTTAGTAAAATGTAAATGGAAATTTTATTTTAGTAAAATGTAAATGGAATTTCCACATGTTCAATAAAAATACATTTGTGCAATAGACTATTTTATATATTTTAATGCCTGTGATTAAGCATATAATATCATTGTTTGGTTTTCCTTTCAATACTTTCATTTAAGAAAAACAAACTCTTTTCTTCACAGTATAATGTGTCTTTCTTTATTTGAAGATTGAAAGTATGGTAGAGAAAGCTGTTCGGCAGTTGGCTGATCGAAGGAATGAGGAATACAAGGTGAAGAATTAACAACATTTATTTATTTTTCTTCTATAAAAGTCTTCTTGTCTTAATACTCATGGTTCCTTCAATAACTCTCCAAGAATAGCAAAACTTTTTCCTACTCATTGTCTCTTTGACTAACACAAAATGTGTCATAAATTTACAGATTTAATCAGGTAAATTACACCATTTTTATTTTTAGTCAAAAAAGAATGCTTTTACCATTGCTCGAGAGTTGGAAAAACTTGAGGAACAATTAGCTGAAGCTCGAGCTGGGAGAGGTAAATATACAGACAGAGATGTAACCAAGGTAATTATCATTTACCCCCCACCCCCCTTTAAAAAAAACTTTTTCACTTTCAATAAGCTGTTGAAAGACTTGGGGTGGGGGTGCAGATGATAGGAATTATGTTCTCTTGTACAATGTGTGGGTCTGCATTGTGAATAAATTCTATAAATATTTATATTTATTCTATAAATATTTTAGTAAAAACAAATTACTGGAATTTTGTTTAGAAAATGTTTCAAGACAAACTAAAATGGAGTAAATAAGATTAATTTTAGGAAGGTTTCCATCAGTATTAATATTTTTCAAAAGGTACTTGAGGATTTAAATCCTTTCTTGAAATACTTAGAATTCTAAAATAAAAAATATTAACCAGTCAACTCAGTCTCTTCTCTGGTTTGGATTATTTCACTTAAAAAATGTTATTTACTTCAAGAGAATATGGTTTATTTACCATCAATATGGTTGGTTTTCTATAATTGCTATTTATGAATGATTTTCTTATTTATGATTAAAACAAGGTTCAAACTAAAATATAAATTGTCATAACACACCATTACAATATTATTAATAGATAATTTATATATATATATATATAATTATTATGTAAGTATAAATAAATGGATTTTTCTATAAGAATAAATTTAAATATTACCTTAATGATACAAGTATAAATATTGATTTCAGAATAACTCAATTTTTATGATGATTTCTAATTTGTAATTTATGTCTTCTGCAGCTGGAAAAAAAATGTCGGCAACAGTATGACAGTGTGCAGAAGTGTGATAAGGAATACAGTGAGGCCTGCCAAAAAGCAGAGGCTGCACGGCAAGAATGGGACTTGAGCATTTTGAAGGTAATAAGATACACAAGTAATAAAGTACTACAACAAAAAGTTATGAATTGCTTTTATGATCTGTTTAATCGACAACATCATTTTGCAATTTATTTGATTTTAATTCAACTAATCAACTGGTATTTTAATGTTCAATGACAAATGTATCAAACTGACTGTCAACAAATTATTTCATTTGAATCACCATATCAAGAATCATTTACTGATAGAATACAGATTGCCACTAACAAAGCTCAGTAGAAAATCTGTAGAAATCCAATCTTATGTCTGATTTATCAAATACCTATTGTAATCTTCATAAAGCCTTAACTTTTGTTAAGAAATTTAAGAAGCAAAATAATTTGTAATAACAATAGGAGTCATCTGCATTGTCTATTTTTGAAGTTTGTCAAAATTTGGCTCTACATTTGATACAACATATGTGTTTTTCTTCTTTCCAAAGAAACTTTATTGGAATTTATTTAAATATCTGTATTTTAAATAATCCATACATTACTGCCAAAGAGAATTTTGCTAAATGCTTAATTTTTATTTTAAGAAAAGCTAATTCAACAATAACATTTATTAGTTTAATGAATATACATAGATAATAATGATGATATGAGAGTAGACTCCAAAGAGCTGAAGAAGCTATGAAACATTAATATAAAACTAATTCCTGTAGTAATGGAAGCACTTGGAACACTGCCTAGACAACTGAAAAAGTGCTTAGGGAAAATTGGAATCAAGAACAAGATCTCCAGAAAATTGCTGTCAGTTACTCTGCAAGAATCCTCTGAAAAGTTCTTGCACATTGCAGTGTTGCACATTGACTATGTCAATGTGTAACACTGCACAATAATAATACAACTGGAAAAAATATGAAAATTATGAGAATTTGACATTTTTCAGGCTAACAGAACTTCTGCCAAAAAGCACTCAATAGGTAACTAGAGCTTTAATATATTCAATAAATTAAGAAAAGTTAAAATGATTTATTTTGTTAGCTGATGTGAAACTCATAAATTGTCTAACCAGGATTAATCAATGATAAATGATGATTGTTTCAACACAAAACTCTTAAGTTAACTAACCAGATAAGTCCCTTGAACTTTTCTTAATTTATTGAATACATATACACGCACACTGCTTGGCCCACAATACTTGACATAACCATCATTCACAATCCAACATATTGGGTTAAAATAACATATAGATCTTCAAAAACCCCAGAAAGGTGGAAGAGCCCAAAACTATAGAGCACAGAGGAGTATGGGTGTAGCAGTCCCCTTTTTGGCTTAAAGAAGTGATTTAGTCGCTCTAAACATCTCCATTGATACCCTTGCATCCAATATTGATGTACATCAAATCTGTATTCTGCTGAATAAAAAAGCTGTCGTATAATTATAAGAAGAGCTTGGAATTCATAGGAATGAAGAAGTTATGATTATAAAAAATAAAAATGGTAGAGTTAGTGATAATCATTGTAAAGCTCTAAAGAATATGGACTAGCAATAGATGTTATAGCAAATTTAATTTGTTGGTTATTTAGATGCAACTTTGAATTTAGTAACAGAAGAGCACAAGCCATATAGAAAGCCAGGAAATATACCACTATATTAACTCTAATTCTGATCATACTCAGTATTAATGTTGAAGAAGGCAAACAGTAGAGTAAAATTGAAAAGTCCCATGGAAAGTAATTGTATAGTTGAAAATATAGTCTATCTGGCTAAAACAAAAATAATAGGAATAGGACTAATGTCTATATTTGAGTTGTGTCACTGGGTAGTGTATTTGCTCTGTCTTGCACATTCAGACAGATCACTGTCTTTTACTGTTTAGGTAGGTTTTTTTCTTCACAGTTTATGTTTCTTTTACCTTTTTTGTTTTAGGTTTTGATTTATTGGTTTTGCTTTTTATTTCTGTTTTCTTTGGTCATTTGGCAATTTTTTGTTAGTTTTACTTTGGATGCTGTTGATATATATAAGAAATATAGTCTTAAGATGTGCTATATTTATGAGATAAAGTGCTCAATATCAGAGATAGAGTGTGTAAATATAAAAGTGAACATAGAAATCAACACTTTGAGGCAACAGTCTGTTTCATGCTAGATGCAATCGTCAAGCCATATATATATATATATATATATATATATATATATATATATATATATATATAAGGGAGTAATTAACCTTTTTATGCTGTAGCTTTTTATAGTTTATTCATAAAAAACATACCTAATAATTTTTCTTTGCATTGATTCTTTCAGGTATTATCTCTTTAATACTACTTGGTATTTTTAGTCCTATGTAGTTAATTGATCATATCAATTAATTAAATATCTGATAAGATGGTGGCAGGAAATGCATAAAAAAACTCTGTAACATCTTTATTATTAAATAACATCTGTTAAAAAACTCATAACCTAAAAATTTATCCTTGTCTTTTTCATTTTTATTTGCAGGGAGCTGCTCAAATGCAGGTGTTAGAGGAAGATAGAATTAATAAAATGCAGGAGTTACTCAATGTCTTTAACACAAACATTTCCCAGCAGGGGCCGCAACTAATGCAGGTAATTGACACAAATAAATTTCAAGTTTTCATTAGAACTTGTTTTTTTTTTCTTTTCTTTTTTTTTTCTTTTTTTCTTTTTAAGTATTTCATCCCAAACAAGGCTGGAAGCCACTAGCATGCAAGGGGTTACAGAGGATTTGGAGCGAGAACAGATAGGAGTGATAGAGGAAAGGATGAGGAGAAGGATAGTGGATAGATCAAGGCAACTGGAGATGTCAATTGACATTACATTTGAATAGTTGGCGATTATAGCTATCAGAGAAACATGAAAAGGGAAGGGAGTTCCACAGGCGAGATGTGCGAGATATGAAGCTATTGGAGTAGAAGAGACAGCTACATTTAACAGTTTTAATGGTGAAAGGGTGAGAGCGGGATGTCATCCTCGTAAGACACTTGAATTCATGAATTCTGGGAACCAGTGAAAGCAGCTCATCGGAGCAATTACCATGAAAGTATTTGTAAAAAAAGACAGAGAGAAGCGATGACATGTCTGTGAGAGAGCGACTGCAGATGAGATGCCAGATCAGGGTCAATTACATTGCATATTTGTCTCTGGATCTTATCAAGTAGTTTTGCTTCATGTTTAGTTTGCACAACCATCATTATATGAAGCTGAGTCAATCAGCAGTATGACTTACATTGACTAGTCCACTTGTAAAAAATAGTGAAAAATTTGGAAGGGAATGATTTTTGTATGTTAATTTGACCTTCCTCAAGGTGCAAGCATAGTTTGAAAATTGACTTTTGTAAATAAAAAAAAGTAAGTTCAGATAACTCAAGGATCGATTTTTATTATGAACAGGACCCCCAATAAAAATCAATATTCTTCATTTCTAGCAAAAGTCACACTTTGAGGAAAGTCTAATGAATGCTGATCTATAAAAATTATTTCCAAACATCTTTGGTCATCTCCTTTGACAACCAGCTGTTTTTTTTTATCTTTTCTTTTAAAAACACACACACACACACACACACACATATATATATGTATCAAATATTTTGGTTTTGAGTTATTGTAATGTTGTCATGGGATTGACAGTTTTCAGTATAGAAAAAATTTAAATTTGAAAATTTACTTAGCATATGCATCTATAAACGTATATTCTATAAATATATATTCTTATATTACCTTGAGGAACAACAATATCATGAAACTTGTGAACATTTTATTTATTGTTAATAATAAGTATAAAAATATATTGATAGAAGAGTAGGTCAACAGAAAAAATCTGAGTAAATTTTCTGTTACATAAAGAAGCACCATTATTAAGTGGTGTTCTCTGATAACTCTCACATTGCTTCATTTGCAAACAGCCTACAGATTATTTCTAAGGACATGTTTGCTGCATCTTTTAATTTTCATTTCAAAGTTTTATATTTGTATTTTCAGATTTGTGAAAAACTTGATAAATCTGTTAGTCGAGTGGACCTAAAAGAAGACTTGCAGAGCTTAATGAAGGAACGAGGCACTGGTCCCCCACAACCCCATCAAATCTTGTTTGACTGCTATGTAAATAAAAGTTTTCTTTTCCTCTCTTTTGTTGTGTGTTTCTGATTGGCTTAGATCTGGATCTCCATGGTCCCAAAGGAGAAGAAAAAGAATTGTCATCAATTTGATAAAACAATATGAAAATTGTAAAAGTGTAAACATGGCTGACTGCTCACTCAACCATAACAATTGTCTTGAAAAGCAGAATAAAAATTACTGTATTAATAAAATCTTCAATAATAGCAAAGCAGCAAGTGGTGCCAATAAAGAAAATTTTTGCAACATGAAGGTGGTGTCTGTGTGTCAATTCTTGAGCTTATTTTTTTTCTGTATATAAATCAAGTGTTTTTGTCATCCTAATTTGGAATCCCTATGAACATCAGTTACCTTACCTTCAATCATAATCGTTAAACTGTTAAACGGTCCTCAAATGAAATGCAATCAGTATTTTGTTTAAACTGTAATATTTTATAATAAAATTCCAAGCTTATAGAATTTGCTCAAAACCAATTTCATCACTGAATTGTTTCAATAATTTTCATTCTTTGCAGGCTGAAGACATGACATTAAATATGAATTTAAACCGAAGAAAGCAAGCTTTGAAGAGTTACTTGTTTTATATTCAATCTGCTTTGGAAAGGGAAAGAAAAGGAAAAGAAGGTATGTAATAAAAATACTAGGAAAACTTTGAGATGGTGCTGAAAAGTTCTCCTGGCTAAGAAAGTATTCCAGAATAAATTTGGATATCTGGTCTTTGAGAAGTGAGTCAAGCCATGAACTTTTTAGCACTTCCTCATAATCTACAGACTAAAAATTAATAAAAAAAGATCTTCACTGACTATAGTTAATGTAGAAATTCCTGCCTATTTCTCTCAAAGGGGATTGTAGATTTGATTTTTATAATTTTTTTTTTATGTAATTGAAAACTACCCCTTAAAATAATTTCAATAAGAAATCCATTATCCAGTCATATCTCAGCATTTTACTCCCAGATCTTATTTTTTTCAGCATTCATTCATTATCCTCAAAAGGAACTATTAAATTAAAAACAGCTTTTCTCTGGATAAGTAAACATAGAGAAAAATATAAAAAACTATTCAGAACACAATTAATTTCTGAATTTTCTTTTCTTTACATCTTTAGGTGTTGAAAAATTGATGCAAGTCTACAAGGATCGCCCAGATTTTGCAGACCAAGATGCTCAAGATGATGCAAAGAACAGATTGATGCAGGTAGAAATGCGTTTTTTGTCTCTAAATTGAATCTGATAAGAAGTTCTTGAGAGTACAGGAACCTACTTTTTCATGTTCTTGTTTTCTCTTTCTTGAATTAATTACATTACATTTTTTCATTTCTTTCTTTTAAACTTAATCATTAAATGTGACTTCATTTGCTGTACAAAAAATTTATCCGGCCATTGAACAAAAGTGTTTAGATTTCATAGTTGTTTTTTCATATCCTGCTATGGCAACAGAAAACAACTTTGATTGAAATTAACAATAAGGATACTGCAATTGAGGGGCCTTAAAAAAGAATACAGTAGAAAGGGAAGTAATATAGTATGCTAAAGGTCAATATTTAATATTTTTCAATGTAGTTTTTTTTTATTGTAGAAAATCAAAAGTATTGTTTTCATGTTTCTTGCATAGCTAATCATAATTTTAAAATTGTGGAAAAATCCGTTTATTTACTTTAAAGTAAATACATTTACAGTAACAAAGTTTATTAACTTATAATGCTATTAAAATCAGCAATGTTACAGCAAATAAAATTTTAAAAAAAAGGATTACTTGCTTCGCACAGATTAAGGGAAATAACTTATTTTAAAAACAATATTTAATGTTACATCCCTTACTTTACTTTGTCATTTCAATGTTATCACATTAACGTTTTTAGTATAGAACACATTTGAAATTGATTTGGCCTCAATAATTCATTAGATCTGATTATATATTTTTTATTGTTGCTGTTGTTTACTTTATAAAGTTTTGGGATTATAAAAAAGACAATGTCATGAATGTATATTTTTAGTTTTTCATAATTTAAATCAACTTTTTCAAACACATTGCTAAAATCAATAAAACTTTGTCAGTCTCCATTATGTTTCACTTTTAAACGATGTCTAATTTTGTGATAGGCATGGAAGGATAAGATACTTTTATCCAAAGTTGAAGAATGCATAAACAATTATATATATATATATATATATATATATATATATATAGGTTTGGTTTAGTCTATTAACAGATTAATATATATAAAGTCTGGTTTCAAATTGTCAAACTGATCTTTAAAAATTTACTCAGAAAAAAAGTGAATTTAATTTTCATTTTACTGATGGTATTTTTCACCAGTCTTTACCATCTTTGTTATGATCATAGATTAGAATAATTTAAATTTCAATCCCAAAGTTGTAAATCTTGTCTTTTCTAAAAACTTAAATCTAAGTAAGTAAGATCTATCTTAGATTTATCTAAGTTTTATTTTTGCTCCTTATTATTAAAAAGTAAATAAATACTTTCTTGTTTTATTATTGTAGGTAACATTTACACTTAACTTCCTGGAGGCAAGTCACAGTAAGATTAATTCTGCCTTATCTGTGATAAGTGGAGAGAGTAAAACCAACCACAGGTTTGGTCCATACATAGAATCTGTACGAGACAAACAGGTAAGTAAAAATAAAGTATCTCACTTATTGTTTGTTCTGTTAACCCATTGGTTTTCAATCTTTTGTGTCCAATCCAATTGTTTTTTTTTTTATAAGTCACATGTCATTCTGCCCCTGCCCTGAACAAGATTGTCTAATTCAAAAGGTGCATTCCAAATAATATGCATATATTATTGAAACTCTTCATTCTTTTAAATATTAGTACATATACATGGATTATTTTTATAGAACAGTTATACAAATTTTGATAGCAGTAGAAAATGTTGTTGGATTTTTAAACTTGAATACATGTACAGTAGATACCTTCACGAATTGGACATAAGGTTTAAAATGATTTTTTAAAAATGAAAAGGCTTTCCTAAAGCCTTCAATTTAGTTTTAAATGAAAACTAAAGGTTTAAATTTACTATATCCGGTAAGCAAAGTACTTTGGTGTATTTCAGACAGAAATTATATTGATTGAAATAGACCTGCATTTTTTTTTTCAATAAAATCGATAACATCAGACATTTTTTTAGACACTTGTAAACAAAACTTAATTTTCCATTTTGAAAATCTTGCAAAAATAAAATAAATATTTCTGAAACTTTATTTGAGGAAAATTAGCAAAATTAAAGTTAAGTTAATCTGATTTGAAACAAATATTACTTACTTATAGCATAAAAAGTTGTATAAAAGCATTTCCTAACCACAGGGCCTTGTTTTTCAGACACGTTAATCAATTTATTGACGGCGGATTGACTGCCAAACATGTTCATAGTTCAGTATAGTGTAGCAGACGATAAATTTCATTAGCATTTTGTTCTTTTGTCTTTTTCCATAAAGGGGGACAACCCTTAAAACAAATAACCTTTTAAGAATAGATTTATCAGTTTGGACATCCATACTTCAGAAATTCTGCATCTAATAGACATATATTTTATATTAAAATTCTTTTAAAACTAGTTGGGGGTCTTCAGATTGTAATAAGATTTATAATATATGATTAGTAAATATAGTTTTAATTAATAACAAATTTCTCTAAGAATTATCTCATCAAAATTGAACTTTAAAAGACTCAAAAACTTTATGAATTATTCAGTTTTAAATTGTAAAAAATGAAAAATCTTGTCTTGTAAAAATTCATTATTCATCAAAAAAATTTTTTTCTTCAGACAATATTGTCTTTAATATATATTATTCATAATAACAATTAAAAGCTTCTCTAATTAAATAATGTCTTAGTTTTATTGCAAATTTTTTTTTTTTTTTTTTTGATTCAGAACAGATTTTTGGTAAGACCGAGCCCAATTTTGCAAAAAAAAAAAAAAAAAAATCTTTAAATTCTTCAAAAAATTTTGCTTTTAACTAATATAGTCAATGAATTTCTCAAGCTTTCATAAAATTAAGTAAGGAGGAGAAACACTTGTAAAATAAAAAATATTTTTACCAAGATTTTCTAATAAAAAATATTAAAAATTAATCTAATTCATTATATGTAAATAAGTCCTGAAAATTTCATTAAATCTGACAATTATTTGATTTTTGTAAAAATTTCCAAATTAATGTATCTGTCACTTCAAAAAGAGGCAAAAATTTGCTATGCTAAAAGAAAAACAAGTTTTTTAATCAAAATTTAAATGTTCTAAAAAGGAGTAAAAAATTAAATTAAATAATCAAAAATACTTTTATCCTTCATCTTAATAATAACATAAAGATTTTGATGATAAAACTGTTTTCATTATGTTTGGTGCATGTTTTCATCATGTTATACTGATTTTTTAGGGGTCTCATTTTGATTCATAGCTAATTATTAAATAAACTGAAACATACTTCAATAAACAAGTTCAATATAATGCCAATGAACTAAAAGATCAGAGTATTTAAATCAATTTTATTTTGAGAAGAAAAAAAATCTTGGTTTTGCCTTCAAATTCAGGAAATACAAAAAATAATTTTTGTCAAAAATTATTAAAATTTATCAAAAGGTTTATAATTTGTGTTTAAGTTGACTTTTTATTGAAAAATTTTTCAACATTATCCAAAAAGGCAATTTATAAATGATGAAATTAATTATATATTTGTAAATCATAAATATTTAATTATCAAAGAAATATGGTTGGTCTTGTGATATTTCCCAAATTAATGATGGAAGAAGATTCAATCACATTGTTTTGTTTAAAAGGATTTTTTCCTTTTAAAGGTGCCTAAAAATGATGAGAAATGTTTATCAAATTAGTCAGTATTTTTCATGCTTTTCTGTATCACTTAAAATGTTTGAAAAATGCCTTTACTTTTACTGAGAGTAAAATAAATTATGAAAAGGAACAGATTCTAAAGAATATTTTCATCCTACATTCTAATATTTCTCTTTTACAACTTATGGAATAACTTTGAAAAATTCCAAGTAATGGTTTTCATATTCTACCAAATATCATTTTAGGGTTTTGCTATTAACGCCATTTCCAGTGTAGACATGTATATACGTTTTTACCAAAAGTGTATTTTTCAGACACAGATGAATAAACACATCCAAAACATAACATTTGAAAACCAGCGACAGATGTCAACCTTGATTCTTTTTATGTTCTTCTGAACTTGAAACAGGTCCAATTTCTTAGTCCTTCCAAAGCAATCAATAAAGTCTTCTTCCATCTGATGGATATTGCAGTATGGAATGCTTACATCCTGTATAACAAATAAAACAAATTTGTTTGAGAATTAAACGTTTTTCCCAAAATAATTGGCGGGGAAGGGGTTAATGCTGTAGGCTAACATGGATTCACCTATGATTTTTAACATTTCACTTGATTATAATGAATCCAATTTCTCCAGATTTTTCTTCTACTTGACAAGAAGTGAAATACAAATATGCTTTACTCTGAAAATTCATGTGGAATATTCTTCACTTTGTAAATATCTTAAACATGTTGAATGATTGACATAATGGTGTTCAGCCAATTCCAATGTTGTTAAATCATTATTGTAGCTGTGGTTTGTTGTGGTTTGTCTTTCAAGATAAGTGTTCACCTTAAAGGAACTGAATATTGAATACAGAAAAACTCAAAACTATTTTTTCAATGCGTATTCTTTCTACAGATGAAAAACTAGTTCAGTCTCTGATTTTCAAAAATAGAAGGAACTGAGAACTTTTGCACATGTCTAATATATTTCAATGAATAAGTAATTATCAAAATTATAAAAGTCCAAAATTATTTTGGATATTTATAATTTCAACAAACAAATGAAAAAATGTCCATGACTTATCTTTTTTCTGTTTTTTTTTTAGTCATTCCAAACTTATTATTTCTTAATGAAAACTTTAGCAAGCATTTTAAACTTAATAATGTTAATGAGAAATTTGACTTGATTGTTTTTATTTTGATTTTCCTTCTAGGGCATTCCAACCACAACTTTGAGGCTTCCTCTCAACATGGCCTTAGAATCAGGCAGCACTTATCTGGCCAGCTCAAATAGCACTGGTAGTGTTCAGCTCTCACCCCCTACATCTCCATATGATCAAGATTTCGACCCTGAGGGTATATTATATTTTCTTTGAATTTTAGTTGCACCTTTAGTAATTCTAAAAAGGAATTACAGTCTATATTTCTTTATATAGGCTGTAATTTCTTATACAAAATTTTGTAATAATTTCTTGAATTACAATATATTCTTTTTGATTTTCTGGCAATACTTCTGTTAAAATATATAAATATAATTTTCAATTAAAAACTGTTATCTTAAAATTCTGATAAATGTCTTAGGGATATTACTACTTGTTTATTATTATTTGGTAATAGTTCTTCATATTGTATGCAAAATGTGTTTTACATTTGAAAGCAAAAATGTTATGTATATACATAACGTTTTTATACATGAAAGAGGTGAAGGTGGTGGGAGTTGTGATGAAAATCTTTAAACTAGAAAATGCTAAAAATGAGAATGTAAGACTTACTATAGTGTAGTTGATTATCTGAAGATTTAATGCAGGTTTTTTAATCTCATTTAAAAAATTTTATCTCTTGATCTTAATTGAAAGTTTTATAACTATTGATATGTTATAGACAAGCGTATGGTTGCAAGAAATATGACAACAGCAGAAATAGATTTATGTGATTTATTTCAATAGGAACGTGTGGTTTTGGGACAGCTACCTTGTGGTAGGCCGGCTGAAGATCTGGGTTGATCTCTCATAGTAGTTCTTGCTGGTTGACGTGGCGCTACTGCTGCTGACCGTGACAGGTCTCTTCCCTGGCCTCCTGTTGACTCCTCTTGTACTTCCCTGTGATACCTTTTATGGCGTTTTTTATGGCTTAACAGGCTCGAAAAAACGACACAAGTATAATTAGGAGGGAAGCATTTTTATTGGTCGAAAAATAGAAACACTTTAAAATATTATTTTATTTTTCAACCAGAACTCATGCCTTGGGAACATGCGTAAATAAAGATAATGGTCATTTTGTGATGGGGCCTTGTCCCGTTCACATCCGGCTCTCGCTCTTAAGTATGTTAGTTTATTAGCCTGTAAATCAGCCGAGATATGTCTTATTTTATTTTATAACAAGGCTCCCCCAGATCTCGGTCTGATTTACAGTGAGTGTTATTCGTATATATTTGGGTGATTAATTCATGATAAAGTCTCTGAAGCATGTGGGAAGTTGTCCTTGTGTTCTTCTTATTGGCATTTGTTTTGGTATGGAGTTATTTGCTGAATTATGTGTCCCTGAGGGATGTGGAGGAGAATGATCCTGGTGAGTGTTACATGGTGGAGGCAGAGGGATTGTATTAGATAGATGTGTTGGACGGGAGCCAGTCGTCGGATATGTGCACGGTGAATCCAGATTGTATCACCATTATCGAATTGTTTGGTGACACATCATATTGTTCGTTTTTATAATGGTGTAATTTAAAATCCAGGGCAGATGAGAGGATTGGGCAATAGTTGAGTGTGAAGTAAAACCTTGTCGCTTGCTTGTATTGGGTCCTTGTATGTGAGGCAATTTAAGTTGGTTTCAAAAGCTTCATCACCAGGGTGACGTGGTGATGAACCTGCTTTAGCAGGGCATTAATTTGCATTCCATATGCTCCAGGATCGCCATTGTGATTTCTTTTCTGTGTAGTGAACCCAATAGGCGGATGTTGGGGTGATGGCCAGTAATGGCATAGTGCGGGAGATACTGGTGGCGCTGTTGGTCGTGACATTCATGGATGAAACAACAGATTCTAGAACGTCTGTCCATTCACAGTTCCTGTCTTCACATAACATATAAAGTGTGTTCTTCATCGTGCGATGTTGTCTCTTGATATTTCCTGAGCTTTGCATTGGCCAAGGACAGTGAAGTTCCTCCTACAAATTGACATCTGGTTACAGAATTATCAATAGACTTCTCCAGTGAAGTGTGCCTTGATCAGAGGATACTATGCGTGGAATCTCTCTGTGTTGAAGGAAGAACTGGTACAATCCGCGGGCGGCATCAATAGCACGGTCTCTCGTGAATGGTATGGTATGTAAAGTGTCGGCTGAAGATGGTTAGGATGTAGCGTTTTCCCTTTGAGTTGGGCATTGTGACAAAGTCTATAAAGATGAGATCGAATGATCTCTTTCCTCATTTGCAGTAGCCAATGGGCCAGTGGGTACGTCTACCGTAGTTGCCCTTGCACACGCGTCGCAAGAATCGACATAAAGGCTTATAGCTAAAGGCTGATGTTGCGTTTTTTGAATTCCCACCAGTAGCTGGAAAGGAGTTCTCGCATACAGGTAACACCTGAGTGGCTGTTGCCCTCATGTGCTTGGTAGAGGTATCTGGATCGTAGTTTGTATGGTACAACCAATCTCGGTGAGTGTTTACTGTCTCTTATCAAAACGGAGGTGCCTGGTGCTAGAAAAAATTGGTGCAAATGTTTTTTGAAAAGTGTAGTCGGTGGTCATCAGGGTTGATATGAGGTTCGCTAAACAGGAGTGGGTGACTGAGGGCGCTGATGATCTTTTTGCCAGGGCGTCGTCCTTCTGTTGTTCATTTCTGCGATGCCAAGGTTGTTGCAGATTCTCTTAGTTTGGATGGTGGTGGTAGAGTGATAGGCGAAGAATGCACAAAGCCGCTTGTGGGTGCGGGCGTTTTGTGGTGTGTGAAACATTGGGAATGAGCTGTAAACCGTTAAACTCACCGAGGCACCAAGATGGGATGTATAATGTGGAGGTCTGAACCACTTACCTTGAATGTCCTGCCTGCCAGTGTAGGGTCGTCTCGGGGCCTTCGTTTTCTTATGTTCGCAACCTCTGCTGAGCATGTCAGCCCATTATCATTTGATTTCCCTTCAACATATTCTTAAGACGAATTTATAACATGAAATTTCTTCTTGTCATCATCATATTGAACTCTCGGTCCAATCTGTGGTCGGTGAAGATGACGAAGGGCACTTCACAGGATAATCAAATTTCAATATTGCTCCACTTTATTGCATATGCCTCTCGCTCCGCCATGGACCAGTTCTGTTCTGTGGAGTTGAATGTATGGGAAGCGACCACTATGATATCTTTCTTCTCGTTGTCGGAAAGTTTTGCATTAAGATTGCTTGTTTGTGCGTATGTCACTGGTGTCTATGGTCAGTGTGAAAAGTTTGGAGAAACCGAAACGAGATGACGGGTTTGGCAGAAAGACAGTCCTTGATTTTTTTTGAAGGCTCTATTTTTACATTTTTTGCCCAGATAAACGGTTTATTAACCTTGTTGAGTTCGTATGGGACCCATAAGTTTTGAAAACATATCTGACCTGATTTGTTTGTGAAGATGTGTCTCTAGGAATTGTCTGATCCATACTAAACGGCCAATAAGGCTTTTTAATTCCTTCTTTGATGTTGGAGGTTTCATTTCCCTGATGGCACAGACGTATTCTGGATCAGCCTTCAATCCTTTGCTGTTTACTATGCGTCTGAGGAATTTTGCCTCTGATGCGAGGAAGGGACATTTATCTGGATTCAGCTTGAGTCCGAATTTTCGGAGGGCAGTAAAAAAATTGTTTGAGGGAGAGTATGTACTCCCTAAATGTCCTAGTGTAGACCAGGTTGTCGTCGATATAGGAAGAAATGTTGTCACGAAATGTTCTCCCGTTGCATAGCAATGCAACGGGAGAAGATTTGTCCGGCAGATGTAAGGCCAAAGGCCAGACGCGTGTATTGATAGCATTGGTCCTTCTATGTAAATGCTGTTTTGTATCAGTCTCACTTGTCAATCTGACGGCCAGTAGCTCTAGATTTTTAGATCGAGGATAGTGAAATATCTATTGCCTTTGCCGATTTTGTTGAACAAGTGGTCAATCCTTGGCATTGGGTAAGGGTCAAGATCGACTAGGACCTTGTTGAGAGTTCTTTTAAAGTTAGTGACGACATGAATTGATCCGTTTTTCTTGCATACAGCAAATACAGGGCTATTGAAAGCCTTTTGGGGTCGCTCAGTTTTGAATGATAACTTCAATGCCATGCGCTCAGGTTCGGTATCTACGTCTGCTTCCAAAGCCTGGGCTATCGGGTGTTGTTTCTGGCTCAGTGAGACTGACCGTTGGTTGGTAACGGATGAGTTGGATGAATGTGCCTTTGATGCTGCTTTATTTTAATAATGTCAGTGTAGAAGGCACAATGAGTTGTTTTGAAAGGCCTCTAGTTCGTTTGGGTGGTTTGCAGCGATAAGAATATGTAGTTTTTTTGTTTGCTTTTGATCCAGTGTCTGGATGTTGGGCTGTAGTTCCATAGTAGGCTGGTTTTGGATGATGTCAGCTTATACAGGCCATATATGCTGGATCGTTGGTTGACGATGATGATGATATGATTGTGGCTGTTGTTGTGTATCCTGAGGAAAGACCAACAATCTGAATTCTATAGTCGCAACTTTTTTTGTCAATTAGATAGGAATCAAGCGTGTTGTGACATAGGATATTTTGGCTGATCAGGATCAGTGTGGTTTGGGTGTTTTCAGTTACCAGCACGTTAACCTTTTGAATGTGGGTGAGTCCATATACTGCCGATGGTGATGTGGTTAGTCAGTTTGCCAAGAACAGTAGTGCGTTATTGATTCCTTTTTACTATGACGCCAGAGCAGGTCATGATTTCTTGGCTTCTTTTGGGTAACTGAGATATTGGTAAGATGCAGGTGGAGCATCCAGAGTCTAGCATTGCGACACCAGAGAAGGTGATGTCCCTGAAGTTGAAGGTGGACTGGACAAGCGGTGAATGGTGATTCGAGTCCTTGAAAGTTGAAGATGTGATGGGTGATGTAGGGGCATGGCGAACGAGGCATCACATCTTTCCTGCCCAAATGAAAATCCTGTTCCACATCATTTATGGCTTGTATATTATCATTCGTTGTGGCGACATGGGCCTGTGCCCGAGTGTGAGGTGGGTGGCAATATAGGCATTTGCGTCCATGGAGGCAGGGGCGACCTCTGAGGTAGTTCTTGTACATGCTGATTCGTGGTGTGTGCTGATGGTTTCTACATGTTGGATGGTGGCCATGTTCGGGAGGGTTGGTGAAGCTCGTCTGCTGTGGGTTTGGTTGCCTGCTGGGTCGGAGTGGCGCGTTTCTTTGCTGTGGTTTCTGTGGGAAATACACAGTGTCGTGCGAAAAACAGTGTCATTGGTTTTTCACCCTATCAAGGTATCTTTTGAGCTTCAAAAGGCTATATGCCAATGGCTGAATAGTGGTTGTCCATTGTCTTGACAAGATGTGGGTAAAGATTTGAGTTCCAAATTTTCACCTTTTCGCTCATTAGCATAGTGCCGATGATGGAAATAAGTCCATCGACTGTTAGGTCTGTATTTTTGTCTTTTTTGTATTTATTTTTTTATGTGGACGGCTGCCTCTCTAAGGGTGTTTTCAAGTCGACCCACGAAGTCTGTTAATTTTTCATCATCTCGCCATTCCAGATCCCAGGCTTGACTGAGGTGTTGGAAGTTAGTCATCTGGCATCCGTGGGCTGCTAATAAGTATTCCTTCAGTTGATCGAAGGTGGATATGTCTTTTTTTGAGTCAACCATCTGCTGAAAGATACTTTGGTCCAGTAAATCTTTAGCAGACTTGAAGAATTCGCATTCCAGGCTGGGATAGGTGCTGAGTTCTGGCGTGACGTTGATTGTGTATGCTTTGTTTAGAGTCCAGGTTCTCTCTAGCTTCAATATGTCGCGTATAGTTTGTTGGCACATCATTAAGCTGTAATCACCATTTGTTTGAGCGGTGGAAGGTGCTAAAGTAGTTGATTTTAGGGCAGTCAACATGTTGTTTATGTCGGCTTGAATTTCTTGTATCGTGGCTTTGGAAGTCTGTGTTGGTCCCGTTTTCAAGTTGAATAGTAGTGTTTTCTGTTCTTTGATGAGAGTAAATACTTTGGCTCGGGTGAAGCTAGTGTAGTCGTCCATATTTCTCTTGCTGTACGCTTCTGACACCAGTGTTATAGACAAGCGTATGGTTGCAAGAAAGAAATACGACAACAGCAGAAATAGATTTACATGATTTATTTCAATAGGAACGTGGGGTATAGTTCATAGGCTGGCTGAAGATCTGGGTTGATCTCTCATAGTAGTTCTTGCTGGTTGGCGTGGTGCTACTGCTGCTGGCTGCTGCTGACTGCTCAGTCTGACCATGACAGGTCACTTCCCTGGCCTCCTGTTGACTCCTCTTCCCTGTGACCCCTTTTATGGCTTAACAGGTTCGAAAAATGACGCGAGTATAATTAGGAGGGAAGCATTTTTATTGGTTGAAAAATAGAAACACTTTAAAATATTTTATTTTTCGACTGGAACTCGTGCGTTGGGAACATGCGTAAACGAAGATAATGGTCATTTTGTGATGGGGCCTTGTCCCGTTCACATCTGGCTCTCACTCTTGAGTATGTTAGTTTATTAGCCTGTAAATCAGCCGAGATATGTCTTATTTTATTTTATAACAGATATAACACTAAAATTACTCTTGTATGTATATATATATGTGTGTGTGTGTTCTCAAGAAACATAATATCCCAATTTAGGAGCATATTGTACCTTGAACCCCTGCAGAGTGCCTTGCCAAATTTCATTAAAATTAGATTAGGGGTTCTTGAGCCAGGGCTGTTTTTCTGTTTTTATGGCATTTTTAATAGGAAATTCTGTATTTGTTTTTAATCCACATATATAAAAAAACACTTCCATCTATTATGTATGTAAGAAATAATAAACATGAATAATACACTATAACAACATTATTAAATAAATTTGAAGATGCATTACACAACATACAATAGACTATACTACATTAGAACATTTTTTAGAACAATTTTTAAACAAATATCTTGGATGTTTGGTAAGTACTTGAAAAGGCTATGTGGGTATGTCTTTTTCTTCATTTTCTTTTTTTTTGAGCGACTTTTACCTCTGAAAGTTATAATTTGGTAAATTATTTGAATGGAAAGTTTGCAGTTTTATTCTAAAAAAAAGTAAACTTTTTCCTGCTGCCCAATGTTTGCATTAAAGAGATGTTTCAAATTAAAACTAGGATATAATCCATGAACTCCTCCTTCTATGTTATTCTGGTATTGTTTATTTATTGTCCGTTCTGAAAATCTGTTTGATAATTTAATGTCTATCATTGAATATGAATTATTATTGCGTTTGATCTAAGTAATATTGTACAATGTGAGTAATAATAACTATTACAACAACTTGTATTGCAAATACAAATGAAAATATGTGTAATTAATAATAAAATTGATAATATTCTTACCTAATCATTTTGTATCATGGACTTCCTTTAAGAGGAACGCAATGGGTTTATGGGTGATCTAGTAAATTATAAAAATTTGTCATTAATCAATACACATACAAACCTGGCAATTACATACACACTGTTAGGCACACATGTCAAAACCTCAAATATTAGCAATAACTAAATGAAAATAAGAACGAGATGATGAGTAGTAGAATGAGAACAGTCTACCCCCATAGATTAAATAAAAGGTTCAGTTCAGAATTCCCTGTAGATTTCTCAGATTGATATAGACCTGAAGAAGGTCAAAAGGAACAACAGACAAAACATTGTGATAATATATGAATATAAATAGTGTAAATAATATTAACTCCTCATTCCAGAAATTTAGACAGATATTACATAATAGTCATAGTTTCCACTGAACTACATTTAATTGACTGTCTTTGATTCTGATAACTTTGGTCGTTTTGAACTTTTGTTCCTAACATCTGTGACTTTTATAGAGTCTTCACAATTTGAGGGTTGAATGGCTGAAATGTCTTTACATTGTTTAAAAATTTATTTCAAATGGCAGTATTTCTGCTATTATTAACCAGATTTTCATACCACATCACTCAGAACAACATACTTGTTGGGGAAAAGGTCACTGACAAGGACCACATCCTAGTTTATACACAACTCAGTATGTTTCCCCTGATAATATAATAAGTAATAATATGGCATAATTCAGTTTTATTTATTATCTATAAATAAATAACAGCTTAATCAGTGCAAAATTTTTGTCATGATTAAATTCAGCCATTTGTTTTTACAAACCATTTCAATCTTTATTTTGATTTTCTTTTCTAGATTTTTCTGATGATGATGATGATTTTGACAATAACTATGAGTACCCAAGTAGTGTGGGAAGCTACAATCAATGTCGTGTAATATATGAATATTCTGCAAATGCTACTGATGAACTTGACATCAAACCTGGTTGGTATCACTCTTTTGTTTTTTATATCAGGAGATTGTTGCATACAGATAGAAGTTTGTTAAAAAATGATTGTGCCAGTATTTTGGTAAAGTTCTTATAAACATGTAAAAAGAATCTTTAAAAAATTAGATTGCCTTGAATCTTGTGGCTTTCTCTAGTCAATATTTCTCTATAGTCAGGATTTTACTATTTTCTATAAATATTTTCATGGAAATTGTTCTTTTGCGCCTAGATTATAAACACAGTAATAGATTGGCAGTGAGTTTACAGGTGAAATGGTCACTAGATATAACTATAAATTCTATGCTAAGTTTCTTCTCTTGCACTTCTCACTTGTGGAACTCTCTTCTTACTTTCCAGTCAACTTTGATCTTTAAAAGTTAAAATGCAATGTTAATCATTAACTTGTCTTCTGCTCTTTTAGTGTTCTCTCACTTTAATAATGTTTTCTTTCCTCATATTACCCACACTTAGTAACCCCTTGTCTCTTAGTGGCTTTATTGCCTTGCTTGATGTTAAATGATAAAAAAATGGTCATCCTCACAAAATATAGCAATATAAATAGCATTTTATATAGGTTTTTGTGAATAAACTTCATTCATTCACTTTTCTTGTGTGACTTGAAGTATTTGCATGTTGCTATATTTAATAAAAAAGAATCTTGGTCACAGGAAACTGACATTTTGAATGGACTGGATTTGCTGTTTTATGATAAAAGACATTTAAAAATGTTTTAAGTTTTTTTTGTGGTTTTACAATTAAGTATAACAGATATGACAAAAGAGAACAAAACATCAAAGTTCTGAAGAAATTTTACATGAATCTGTTCAAGATCTTGCTTTGCAATTCAATAAAACATCAATACTTTGACACTAAAGAAAATAGTGAAATTAACTAATCTTCTTAATGGGAAAATGCCACATTTTAACCATAGAGAGTGAGTTGTATGTCATCCTAATATTTCCTCTAAAATATAATCTTTTATTTGGTGTCAAATAAAATAATTTGAACAAGTATTATGTTGAATGGTTCAAATACATTCTTTCACTTTGAATGATTGGAATTTGAATGAAGGTATTTTTTGTTTTAATTTTAAATGTTAGAATTAACTGAGATGATAACAATTTTTAGTGGATGATATAATAATGATTTGAATGTATTTTAGTAGCAGAATTTTATGCAAACTTTACATGAAACATTCTAAAAATGACTTTTTGGGATAAAATTAGCAATTAAAGGAATATTTAACTGTCATTTTTTAAATCTTATGTCCTATCTGTAAATTTATATTTTAGATTATCTTATTATATAAATTTTTTTTTGTATTTTCAGGTGATATAATCAATATATATAACCGTCAACCAGATGGATGGTGGCAGGGTGAACTCAATGGCAAAGTGGGGATATTCCCTGCCAATTATGTGGAAGAGATTTAATTGGGGGACACTAAAACAAGCACCAATTTTTCCTCCTAGCACATATTTTTCCCTTGAAATGTTCTAGGGAGAGAACTGGATGGATTAGTAAGAAGAGAGTGCATAGAAAACTAGCAAAATTATGATGATCTGGTCTACATCTGTCCAACTTCACAAGATGTTTGCATGTGTTTTTGCTTCAGTAGATATTGGTTCACTGTCCAACAGAAGCCAAAAAATCTGGAAGGAAATGTCAGTTAATTCTGCTTCTTGTCAACTCATATCTGACACCTGCTCAGACATTTTCAAATATTTTTGGTTGTTAAACAACCTTTTGTTGTTCTGACTAAAGTTTAGTAATCCCCACATTTTATTAATTTCTCACTATCAGATATAGTCAGGCAGTTTTGTTAATAAGCAGATGTTTGCTGATTAATGGACTTAATTGTATACATAATGAGTCTTGTTACTCAGTTTGATGGTTCATTTTTTGGAACACATTCTCTCAGTTTTCTCTTCTTTCTTTTGTTGACAACTCTCTCTCTCTTCCCCAAAAATAAAATAATTTCACTTTTGAGTGATTCATGCTTTGTGATCAAAAAAAAGTTAAAAGAAAAAAGTAACAATGCAATTTACAAAAGAAACAAAACCATAAAGTCATTATTTTCTTGAGAAAAAGAAAAAGAGATCTTAAATACAGAACTGAATAAAAACAATAATATCTATTGGAATTAAGTGTCTGAATAAGAATTATTGACTCAAAATTCTTTTTTTTTTCTTTTTTAAAAAAGAACATTTTAAATGAAATTTCCTATCAACAGGAAAAGAAAGACAAAAACTTTTTCAAAAGAAAAAAAAAACACAAATGAAGAAAAATTTAAAATGTTATTTGTTCTTTTTGTTTGTTTTCATTTATTTAGTTTTTTTTTATTTTCTTTTAGGAATCAAGAAAGTGGTTTGATGTGAGGACCATTATATTTAGTGATTTTTGATAATTAGAAAACAAAAATTTTAGATATCATGCCAGATATGATGATTCATTAGTTTAACAGAAAAAGAAGTTCTAAAAACAAAAATATTCATTATTTTCATCCATTAATGCTAGTATATTTTATATATATATATATATATATATATATATATATATATATATATATATATAATACATAAAAAGGTTAATGGTTAGATTTGAATCAGACCAGGAAACAGTAGTATTAAAAGTGCTCAATACACGTGTGAAAAAATAAAATAAAAGTAAAAATAACATGTAGAGCTTTTAATTTTAAAAATCAGGAGATCAGTTGAATCTGTTGATTTCAACCATACAGTATCCTCAGGTGATTTTTATCAAATGAACGCTTAATGATTTTTTTTGATTTTTTTTAAAAAAATTAAAAAATGCTACATTATTTATTTTTGAAAATAATAAACACGTGATGTTGGGTGTAATAAAAAGGGAGGAGGAAGATGTGAAAAAGAAAGAAGAAAGGGGGAAAGAAGAAAAGCAAATGTATTGTAGATTTACTTTTTTTTTACCCTGCCTCATACAACTCAACTAAAATTGAACTGGGTAAAATAAGCCAAGAAATATTGAAAAAAATATGACTCATTAAGAATTGCCACACAAGCCAATCAATGGAAGGACATAACTGAATGCATTTCTTGGTTCCACAAGATCAATAATAAAAAATAGATATGTATTTATAAAATATGATGTTAAAAACTTTTACCAATCTATATCTCAAAATGGTCTGCTGGAGGCTTTGAACTTCACCAAAGGCTTTGTAAACTTAACCCCTGATCTAATGGAAATAATTTTACATTGCCGCAAATCTATTTTATTCCATAATGGAGCAACCTGGGTTTAAAAAAAAAAAGATGGCTTTGATGTACCACAAAGTTCATTTGTTGGAGCTGAGATTTCAGAGTTAATAGGTCTACATATATTATATGAAATTAACAAAGTTGGTCATATAAACACCCATGGGATGACAGTTTGATGATAGTGCCAGTCAACAGAAGAACAAATGACATTATTAGAAAAGCGCTTTTCAAACTCTTCAAAAGCCTCAATTTGAAATAGAAGTTGAAATGAAAAAAAATGTTAACTATCTAGACGTAGAATTAAATCTTGAAGCTGGCTATTCGTGAAACTGAACGCAAAATTAAAATATTAGATCCAACCACACTCTGAACATAAATCACATCCCTAAAGTAACAGCATCTAGGTTATCCAGAAACTCTTCTGGTAGAATAATTTTTGAGGATAAAAAAGGATATGAGAACTTAAAGGTAGAGGGTCACAAAACCAAACCAGAATTTAAACCTCAAATTAAACAACATACAAAGAACAATTCAAGGAAAAGAAAAAATATCATTTTTTTAACCTTCCTTTCAACTTAGGAAAATTTTTTTGCAAGTTACTTACTAAAAACTTCCCCAAAAATTCAGAATTACATAAGATATTCAATAAAAACACAGTTAAATTAAGCTAAAGCTGCACTAGTAATTTAGAAACAATAATAAATAGACAAAACACCAGAAATCTCTAAACACGCAACAAAATATTATTAACACTAGTAATTTATGCAACTGCAGAAATAAGAATAGATGTTCATTAAATGGAGCTTGTAAAACAGAAGTTATAATTTATAAAACAGAAGTAACAGATTTTAATGGCCAAAATAAAACATACATGGTATGTACGGAAGGTACTTTCATACATAGATGGTACAATCATAGGTCATCATTCAAGCTAGTAAGTCTTAGGTACTCTACCAAACTAGCTAACCATGTGTGGAATTTAAAAGAAAAAAAAAACAACAGAGATCCAATTGTAAGGTGGAAAATTAAAAAAAAAAAAGAAGCAAAGCCTTACAATAATCACAACAATATTTGCAACCTCTGCCAATAGGAAAAATTAGCCATTATGACATTTCTGAATCTAAAGAAACTTTTAAACCAGAAATCTGAGGTTAAGTCCTTGCTTACATATTAGAAAATTTTTCTTAAGCACATATGAGGCTGGCTAAAAAAAACATACCCCCCACCAATATATTTACAATACACTTGCTTTTCTTCTCTTCCCCCTTCTTCTTTCTTCCCATCCTCCCTTTTCTATTACACCCAACATCGTGTGTTTATTTATTTTTGAAAATAATAATGTAGCATTCATTAGTTTAAAAAAAATAAAATAAAAAAGTGTTAAGATGTCATTTGATAAAAATCGCCTGAAGATACTGTAAGGTTGAAACCAAGGTAGCAGATGCAATTGACCTCCTCTAGTATACTAGACCACCTGTTGGGTCAACCTTGTGTTTACTGTTTACATTTAGTTTCATGAAAAGTTTGTGAAAGTAGAGATATTTTAAAAATACATTCATTTGCAGTTTAGGAAACATATTTTATTAAACTTTATATTTATTTTCAAAACACTTTTATTTACAATATTTTTTGCTTGTTTAAAGTATGCTACTTGTGACTTGTTGAGTTACTGAAGGTTCAGATTATAAAACATTGAAGTTGTTTTCAATATTACAAAAATTGATTGTTTGAAGAAAAGTTGAAATAAAAATACTTAGTATATAAACTAGTTGTATTTTTAAATCATACATGAGATAGAATTTGTTTCTTACTGTGAATAGTGTTGCTGTAGTCTGAAATGGTCTCTTTGAAATTTGTCAGCGAGAGTGGTGTGGACTTTGATGAGAGCTGTGTGTATCCTGTTTGGGGCCGGATTTTGTGTTCTCCATTTCCTTCTTCCACCCACTTTCTACATGATAATAAATTTACATCTTTCTTTACCCACTCTCTATATATGACTTCTGGCAAACACACAAGCAAAGTTCACAGAGTTTTATAGTAATATATATATATATACATATACATATTACACATTGAATGTCAGTGTAAATAAAATAGTGCTTGATGCAATTTAACAGAGCTATAAGCTATATATTAATAAATATACTTTTTTTTCATCACCGTAGCACAAACCAGTAAGGAAAAATCAATGTATATATATATATATATATATATATATATATATATATATATAATATGCTTAATTTATATTTAATTGCTTAAAATTCAGAAACTTATATATATTTTCTGAATTTTAAGCAATTTTTGCTTAATCCTTGTCGGAAAATTCATTTTCTAATCTAATGTGATCCATTTACTATTAGTAGGTGATAAACAAGAGAATCCTTTCAGAGTTACAAATGCTCAACAATAAAAGTGTATTGATAGTCAAGATCAAGTCATTTTCAAATTTTTAAATGTTATAAAATTAGGATTTTTCTTTTTAGAATTAAACAGACAGCAAGTAAATTAAAATGATTTTCTCTCTGTTAGCTGTCAATATGTAATAGATGTATTTGTTTAAAATATAGAAAACAGATTCTGTTTTTATCTATGTTATTGATATCAGTTGGGAAGGGGTGTTCTTGATATTGTTTTTCAACATGCTGTGACTTGTTGATGTGGCAAGACTCCTCTGACACAACAATCCTGTTTGAACTTTCATGTATTTTTTAGCAAATGTGTTTAAAAAAAATTCTCAATCTTTTCATGATTCAAAAAAAACAAAAAAACTTGAAAACTTTTCTATTTGTATTTATAAACTTGCATTTGTTGATTCTTAACTGACTTAATAGATCACATTTAAGATTTCAATTCACATTTATATATTTCCATCCATCTACAAACCATAATCAGAATTTTTTAAAATCTGTAAATTTGGAATGAGGGTTGACATTTTTTAAACATTTTCTATTTAATGATAATTGTCAAATTTTCAAATCTAAACTCACTGGTTTGGAGTTATGAAAATATTCATGGATTCAAGTTTGCCTTTCATTTTTTAATGCCTAACAACTTTCATAATCTTATTATTGTTGCTTTTTATAAGCAGATTTTTGGTAATTAATGTACTTAATTGTGTACATAATGACATCTTCCAATGTGACTTTGTAATAAAATAAAAGTCATAATAAGATGAAAAACCTGAAAATATTTAA